AGTCCTTACGTCATGACTTAACAAGAGGATTCTCCCCAAGCCGTCAAACTGACGTCATCAGAGCCAGAACGCCATTCCAGAGCGAAAGCGATGGCAGACAAGTTTTTTTTCCAGTGTATTGACTTGCATGGTTCAATTGTTCACAACAAGACTAGTAATGTGCACCAAAAAAGTAAGTCGGGTCATTTTTGATTTCATGACGATTGACGAATCATTTTCAATACCATTGGCAAAACTACCACATGTTGTATACTGCCATATAGATATTTTAATATTTTATCTTTAAAATTATTTCAAGCTTATTATTTCAAGCTTATTATTTCAAGTTTTGAAATTGGTTTAATCCAAGTCTTCTAAAAAAGACACATTGGCTTTATATGATTAACAGATTTTAATATAGGCTTTTATTTACATATATAAAAATATTGATCAATTACCATTACAAAAATCTCAGTCTTAAAAATTTGCTCATTCTGTGTATTTGTGTCTTTAAAATAAGGTAAGTTTGTTGCAAAAGCTTACAGCAGGAAGCTTGATTTCAAACTGAATATTTGAATTAACAAAAAATTACAAGTACAAAGTCATTAATAAAATTATAAAACAAATGACCTCAATTCAGTTGTATTGGAAAATATGACAATACTGAATTTTTATAGGCAGTTATTTAAAAGCCATATATGTTGTTTATTTAGATAAATGAAACATCAGATGGCTTTGACCTGTAATGACTGTACAATGTTGTGATGCAGTTAGGCAGACTAGGATATTTATATGTACAAATCAGACAAATATCCCATTCCAAAACATTTCTAGCATAAACTTACATTGTAAAGAAATTAAAGTTCCATCTTTGATTGTTGAAAGACTTTCTGGTGCATTTCACTTAGGATTAGTCGGATTTTCATCGGTCAGGCGTGGATCTATTCTGAAGATTGATAACTTTTGACAAAATTTAATCCAGGAGCAAAGAGAAATAATTTCTATTTAAAGCACGGAAAGATCGCGATTGCACACTAGGCGCGTTTCCATTACAGATTTGCGCAAAACTTTGGCGATATTTTATAAATGTCGATAAAACAGTATTGCGAAATGACGGCGTTTCCATTAACCAATGTTATGAGACTTAAACGTAAACTTTTGCCTCTCGCGATAAGTCATGGCAATGGATTTTGGTGGGATTTTGGCTATATTTATTCAAAGGAGGCTTATGCGTGTATCTTTACAGAAGCAGCAAAGAGCCGCTTCAGAAACGTGCGTGGCACGGCTGGAATAAACCATAGCCTGTATAAAAACATAAACACAAGCATTGAGTGGCCGCAATCAGCTTCAGTGACCGTATCAGAGCCACACTGCACCGCAGACGTGTGCAGTGTAAACTGTCTAAGCATTAATGG